GCGGGAAGGCATGTTTTCAGACACAGCTGGGTACTGCATCCAATAAAATACGAAGCAGACTGGGGCACAGTTCTGATTGTTAGTGTAAGCATTCTGTTTCTCCCTTTTCATGCACATTGATAATATGGAAATCACGGCTTCTACCTGTGAGTTTCTGCACAGGTACATCTTCTTGGATGTGGCTGGGACAGAGAAAAGAGTGAGTGTGCTCTTTGATCAGATGGGATAATGGAGCAGCAGTTTTTCAAATGCTTCTAGTTGCTTCAAAGAGATAAATGTTCAGCTGAATGAAAACCTTCAAGGAAATATGTAAATGGATTTCTCTAACTGTGTAGGTAGCCAGTCTGGTATCCTGAAGCAATAATAGAAATAACTTTCTTTCTGGCAGGATGAGGCTTTTGTAAACAAGGATTTTTTTTTTCCTTTCTTCCTCTCTTCTCCCTTTCTCCCTTCTCCCTTCCCTTTCCTTCCATTTTGGTACTAAATATGAATACAATAAAATCATCTTGATCGTAGTCATTGGAAAGATTTTTATACTGAGATAAGAATTAAGTTGTCAGTCCTGGGATTTTAAATGCTGCATTGTTCTCTTCCTTTATGCCTTTGAGAATGTGATCCTTAAACTGCTGTGTTTTTTGCATCATTTTAATTTTATATAATAATACTTGGTTGAAGGAAAGTGGCATATGCATAATTAAAACTATAACCTATTTTGGGAGTGCAAATTTTAGAACTAATAAAACTTGGAGTAACTTAAATCCTAGATTTTCATTAAGTTAAACTACAGAAATAAGTGGAAAAGCTATTTTCATTTTATTTGAAGGTATCTGCTCCCCTAGGCAGCCTCTGTGAGGCTAATTGGGAGGTGAGGCTTTAGTCTGCCCAATGTGATGCCCCTCAAGACTGAAAGGCAGCCAGGACTTTCATGAGAAACACTCCCCAGATCTTACGTTTTATTTGATTTTCATTTTACATACACATATAAAGTTGCTTGCTGCTTGCTGTAATGTTGTGTTTTGATAGAAAGCTTTCATTAAGTAGATAGCAAGTTTTGTCATGTAAACATGATTTCAAGGCAGTTAAATGGCCCTGTGAGATGTGCATTGTAGGTCCATGACTATGCCGAATGTTATGCTTGGGGTCAGGTTCCAGCTCATGCTGAGGTCTGAAGGGAGAGGGTGGATGAGCCGATAGCCGAAAGAACACCTGGGAGTCCGTAGGCAGGTGAAAGGTAGTTTTATTCAGCAGCTGTCTTCAGCAGCAGCTTACTTACACTAGCTCTCTCACACTGTTCGCCCTGTCTCAGCTGCTTAGTCCGGTGTCTCCCACACACAACTGCATGGTCGGCTCTCCAGGGTCAGCAGCCTAACTCTTTCTCTTCCTGGGTATGCGTGAGCTGAGCCGTGTCCTGGCTCCCCACTGTCCATCTATTAAAGCCATGTTATGGCTACATGGCCATGATAACAAGTGGAGTTTTATGGCCTGTGCTCTAAAGTTGCTGAGTCACTTTTGATGTTTACCTTGGGCTATCCTCGACCAAAGCACAGCCGTGTTCCTTACATGCATATTAGGGTTCCCCCTCATTCCACCACGTGACAAGCAACATGGAGAATTAGCAATTGGCTACATGTGTCTTAGTCCCCAAGCATTCATCTTGACAGCCATTCATTTCTTGTTTTCATGTCTTCTAAGATCTTTTCATGCCCTCAGACTTTGCCTCTCCTAGTGATTAACAGTCAATCATCATGCAAATAACCTAATGAAGGAGTTTTAGAGGAGTTTTTAAGGGATCCAAGGTTTTCTTACATTTTAACCATATCCTAAGGGATGTTACTTTATTTAGATTAAAGCTGTGTCTAAAAATGTCTACTGGATGTTTATCATGTTTTGATTGATGGGACCTCCTGGCACATGTATTATGTCTTTAATATTATATAGATATTCTTTTAGAACCTTATGATAGTGTTTTAAGAAAGATATTTTTTTTTTTATTAAGACAAAAGTGATCTCTTCACACCTAAGTGCTAGAGTACTAGGTGCAGCAGCAGCTGTGGGAACAGGGACTGTCTTCATTGTGCAAAGGCTGCTGGCCACCACTTCCTGCAGGCATCTATGCTTATCACCCCCTGTTGGATTGGAGGTAGCATGACCTGCTCCTCTCTCCCCCACAGAAATGCTGTAAGGAGTTATGAGAGGGATTTTGCTTTTACTTTTGAAGTAAACACATCACATAAACCAAAGACAGAAGCAGTCCTGTGTTAGTATTGTTATTGCATTAGTTAATCTGGAGGGTCCTACTGTAAACTATGTTACTGGTGATAGTCTCTCTTAAACTAAATTTTGATTTGTTTGGCTAACGGTTCAATGGCTATTACAGCCCCAGTACTTGACAAGAGATCATTCAGCACTCTTGAAGGAAGGACTCTGGCTTAGGTTTTTGTTTTCTTTAAATAGGCCCACATGGCATTATGGTTTCCTTTGAAGGTAAGTCTCCTTCCTAGTAATTACATTCTTAACTGACATGAGAAGTTTGAAGGATTTAAAAAAAAAAAAAAAAACCTAAAAGCAAACCTCTGTTTTTAGACACTGAAACCAGAACCATGACTTTGGCACTGATAAACAGAAGATCAGTAATTTAGGACCTGCAGCTTTGTATTCTCTCCAAGTCTTCAGTTCACAGTCCTATTTTTAGAAACTGGTTTTTATGCCTGCCTGGAAAGTCTTCTACAGTAGAATGGAGTCATTTTTTTAAAAACAGAACTTAGAAATAAATAATTTATATGCTATAAATCAGTTCAGTTAAAAAACTTCATGTAGTAATTTACAAGGGTAGTAATAGGAAGAAGGAATCAGCTGTAGCCTGTACGTCCCCAAATAAGGACTAAGAATCAGAACAGTCGTGTGTGATCAACTTTAACTCTTGCAAGCTGAAGAAAAATCCACTGAACCATGTTAGAATTAAAATATTAAAAAATTGATTTGCCAGTACCAGAGACTGAGTAACTTAAACCACGTCTTTTTACCCTAGTTACTGATACTTTGAGTGTATACTTTTTTATAATCATGAAGGATAATTTTATCACAAACCTAGCTTTTAAAAACTTTTTTCCTCGTATAACTTATGAAAATATAATTGTGGGGGGAACCATATATGAAGAATCTTTTTTTTTCAGACTTTTCCTATTGTTAGTACCAGATATCTCTTTATTATCTTTTTCTTTTTCATTTCTAAGAAGTTGGGTTTACTTTTAAATTTTTCTGAAGGGTTTATGATGGGGACCTGTCCTAAGACTACATTGTCTCTATGTAGTGTTACTACACTGAACACTTTGTGTTTCTGTTCCACACTGCAGACGTTTATTTGCCAGTCCTCAATAAGGGGTCTTATGCTTGATATTTTTATCACCTGTCTCTGGTAACAGGTAGATAGGAGATAAGGGAGGTAGCCCTCCGAAGACTTGAGCTGATAAACCTTAAAGAGCTCAAAGCTTATCAGTGGATGAAAACAGCAACGCATCCTTTCTTAATGCAAATTTTATTTTTTTTATTTTTTTTTTTTTTGAGATGAGGTCTTGCTCTGTTGCCCAGGCTGAACTGCAGTGGCACTATCATAGCTCACTGTAGCCTTGAACTCCTGGACTCCAGTCATCCTCCCACCTCAGCCTCCTGAGTAGCTAGGACTACAGGCACACACCACCATGGCCGGCTCATTTTTAATTTTTTTTTGTAGAGATGGAGGTCTTGTGATGGTGCCCGGGCTGGTTTTGAACTCCTGACCTCAGGCAATCCTCCACCTCAGCCTCCTAAAATGCTGGAATTATGGGTGTGAACCACTGTGCCTGGCCAAATTTCATTTTATAAGCAACCGTATTCTTAGTAACAGACTGTATTAGGAACTCATGTGGAAAATATTCCATCTCCCCAAATATGGCACAAGGCATTGTATTTGAGTTCTCCATATCTACAGAACACACTTCCTTTTGAAGACCTGAAGACACTCTTCTCCATCCACTGAGTCATTCTAATTACTGTGGATGAGACAATTCCAAATTTTCATTTAATATTGCTGGGAGATACTGTCTTTGGTTAAATTCATTTGTCTCTTCCAGATACGTGCATGAGTGTTCAAACCATATTAGTCAAATGACTGCTAAAAGTAGGAAGTCTTAATTTGATTTTGTTATTTGCTATTTGTGAGTGTAAGTTTTTGTTATCAGATTAGAAGAGATGAAAAGGATTGAAAATACTCTATCAACAAGAATGAAAGGAACTGAACATTTTCTTATCTTTGCTGTAGTGGAAGGACAGATTGGTAAATTTTTTCTAGAGACAATTTTATAATATGTGTCAAATATTACAATACATATGCCCTTGGACCTAGCAGTTCCCCCTCTAAGTACTAAGGAAATAGTAGACAGGTAGGGAATGGTATTTGTACAAATTTTAGCATTATTTACAATAGCAAAAAAAGGGAAACAAATGTTTTTAAATAGAGGATTAGTTGAATTACAGCTTTTCATACAAGGGAATATTATGGTACTGTTAAAAGGACATTTCATGTTCTATTTTCATTGGCATCAAAAAAATTCACTGTATACTACTACATGAGAAGAGATTACAAAACACCGTAATGTGTATAAAATGATTTTATTTTTGTTCTTAAAATATATATGGATATATTTTTATGTCTGGTTATACAGTACATTGCTTTTTACAGTGGTTGTTTTCAAGGGGAAGGAGAGACTAACAGGGGCCTCTTGTAGTCTAATTTGTACACTTCTGTATGGTGTAAAATGTTATATTTTCTTGTTTTGCTTCATAGTCAAAGAGAATAGTAAAGATATTTACATTCTGAAAAACGAAAGAATATATAGGTTTGGAGTAGGCAGTATGACTGTGCGTTGTATTCCTCTGTGGAGTGTCCTTATAATACTTGCTGAAGCGTATCATGCACCATCTCTAGTCCATTTCATGCAGTTTGGCACATTTTCCCTGTGCAGTGAGAAGATTGCTCACGTCTGGCATCGTGATTCAGGTGTTTCCACTGCATGACAATGAAGCCCTGAAGAAGCTTGAGGACAGCTGGTACACTCGGTTTGCTTTAAAGTATCAGCCCATAGGTATGTGTCAGTACTTGTTCTCTTAAAGAAGAGGAAGGCCTCTAATGAAAAGTTATGATCCAGCAGTGGAGTCAGCTCCCTTGGACAGATACTTAGTGCTCTACTAGGCAGGGATCACCAGCTGCATATGGGAAAACATTTTGTGGGGGAAATAAGGTGGGTTAGATGACCTCTTTATTCTTTTATTTAAACTTTTTTTTTTTTTTTGAGAAAGGGTCTCACTATGTCACAGGCTGGAATGCAGTGGTATGATCACAGCTCACTGCAGCCTTGACCTTCCAGACTTAATCAATCCTCCCATCTCAGCCTCGTGAGTAGCTGAGATCACAGGCGTGCACCACCATCTGCAGCTAATTTTTTGTATTTTTTGTAAAGACAGGGTTTCGCCATGTTGCTCAGGCTGGTCTTGAACTCATGCTCAGGCAATCCCTGTGACTTGGCCTCTCAAAGTGCTGGGATTATGGGCGTGAGCTACTGTGCCTGGCATTTTTTTGATGTTCTAATACTACTTTAGATCAGCTGAATCATAGGCTTTCACTACCCTTCACCAACAATAGACAGTTCAGAGTGGCCTTCCTGCATATGTGTCAGAGTTGGAATCAAACAAGTTTTTTTATCTGTTTGTTTGTTTTGAGATGGAATTTCACTCTTGTTGCCCAGGCTAGGGTGCAGTGGTGCAATCTCAGCTCACTGCAACTTCTGCCTCCCAGGTTGAAGCAATTCTCCTGCCTTAGCCTGCTGCGTAGCTGGGATTATAGGCATGTACCACCACACCTCGCTAATTTTTTGTATTTTTATTAGAGACGGGGTTTCACCATGTTGGCCAGGCCGGTTTCGAACTCCTGACATTAGGTGATCCACCAGCCTTGGCCTCCCAAAGTGCTGGGATTACAGGTGTGAGCCACCGTGCCTGGCCTCAAGCAAGTTTTAATAAGAATTTAGTTTGACTATGAATGACTATTTTGTATTTGAAAATTTCTATTTTTGAGGAGCCAGTTATTTAGAATGAACCAAGCTATGCCACACTTAGGGCAACTAGCAGGCCAAACATCTTTGAGGTGATTTGTGATTACCTTGGCATGAATTACTGGATCTGTCCATTTTCTTTGAATATAATTATAAGAATAATTATTTATTTGGTATGTGCTGGGCATTATTTAAAATTTTGTCAATATGGATATTCAAGTATTTTAGTCTGGTTATGTTTTTTAAGCATGAGAATTAAATTTAAGCTCGTAGATTTCACCTTTGCATTACTATCATTTTTTCTTTAAAGGATATTTTCCTTTTGATTTTGTTTAATGGTATCCTTCTAAAATAATTTTCTTTCTGTTTTCTGTTTCTGAAAACAACTATTATATAATGCTTTACCAAACAAAAATTGTTTTTAAGATCAAACTCTGAAATTACATTTTGAATTTTGTTTGTATTCTCTGAAAGGAAAAGTTCTGTTTTTGTTAATTCTGGGTCATACAATAGTCATTTTATGTTATACTTATAACTCTTTAACTTTGTTTTGGCATTTAAGTGGGAGGGAATTTGAATATTGCCTCTAGGACTTGTAAAGTGACTGTATCTGTTAGCTACTTTTTTTTTTTTTTTTTTTTTGAGATGGAATCTCGCTCTGTGGCCCATACCGGAGTGCAGTGGTGCAATCTCAGCTCACTGCAATCTCCGCTTCCCAGGTTCAAGCGATTCTCCTGCCTCAGCCTCCTGAGTAGCTGGGACTACAGGTACACATCAGCGTGCCTGGCTAATTTTTGTATTTTTGGTAGAGACGGGGTTACACCATGTTGGCCAGGCTGGTCTTGAACTCCTGACCTCAGGTGATCTGCCTGCATTGGCCTCCCAAAGTGTTGAGATTACAGGTGTGAGCCACTGCTCCCAGCCTCTATTAGCTACTTCTTAGAAAGTAAAGGGAGAAAGTCGATGGTGAAGGCTAGGCATGGAGTGGTAGTGGATTTGGGGTCTCTGGGAACTGAGACTGGTGATAGCATCTGGGATACAGGCCAATCTTGAGGCTCCTTGAGATTAAAAGGGGAAGGTCATCTGCTGTGGACCCAAGTGTCATGAGCAACTTTTTTTTTTTTTTTTTTTTTTTTAAAAAGATCAGATGTTCTTTAACCTGATTTAAATTTGAGGTGACATCATACCTACTGTTTTCATTTGCTCCTGGGTTAGGGGGAAGAATTAAGGATAGGAGAAAATCAGTTCATTCTAACTCACCTTTGTAGACTACTCAAATTATCTTAAGAAAAATATGTTAACTGTGTGTTATTAACTAAGAAATAATAACGCCCACTGCCACACTTCCTCTCATGCCCTGCTTCCCACCCTAGTCCTGGTGCACGATGCTCTTACGATCCAAGCACTCCCCATGTGGATGAGGCTGGCAAAGGATGCAGTGCTGGTGACCTCTCTAGAGTCAGTTAGCTTGTGTCACATTCACAGAACATTAGCAGTCATGTTGCTTGGACCTTCTTCCCAGTGCATATATGAAAGTGTTGATAAATGTGTTCCATGGCTGTTCTGGGAGTTCATGTGTAGAATCCTGTTTTGTGCTTTTGAATAATTTTTCTTTAGTGTATTGAAAAATTTGCCATGACACATTGATGAAAGTTTGTCTTTGGGTAGGGAAGAGCAGAATTTTGTGGATGGGGAGTCTTCTTCGAAAAGAACATTTATAACACTAAAGTGGGAGAAAAGTGGGGAGCATAAATTAAATTTAATGTGCAGTGGCCATGGCTGAACTTAAATTAGGACCTTGGAGATTTCGGGTAAGCTACAAGATGAGTTTTCCTTTGGGAAGAAGGTATCTACCAGGTGAGGGGAAACAGAGTCCAGGCGCCTGCAGAGCAGGACCTGCAGCTAAGGCCTGGGCGCTTACCTGGGGGAAATGTTGGACCTGCCATGCAGACAAGCAGGGTCTTTGTACTGCATGGAGGCTGGATTTACCACCACACGCTGGTTGGGAAGTGAGGGTTAAATGATCCCCATTTAACTAAAAAATGAATAAGTGTACTTGAAATGATTTTTTAAAGTCTTCGGTAGTCTATACTTATGTTCTTTCTTTCTTTCTTTCCACTATAGACAGTATTCGTGGCTACTTCGGGGAAACAATTGCTCTGTACTTTGGATTTTTGGAATATTTCACTTTTGCATTAATCCCCATGGCTGTCATTGGGTTACCTTACTACTTGTTTGTGTGGGAAGACTATGACAAGTATGTGATCTTTGCCTCATTCAACCTAATCTGGTCCACGGTGATTCTGGAAGTGTGGAAGCGTGGCTGTGCCAACATGACCTACAGGTGGGGGACATTGCTCATGAAGAGAAAGTTTGAGGAGCCCCGGCCGGGATTTCATGGTGTCTTGGGTATCAATCCCATCACTGGGAAGGAGGAGCCTCTGTACCCCAGCTACAAGAGACAGTTGCGCATTTACTTGGTCTCCCTACCATTTGTATGCCTCTGCCTCTATTTCTCACTGTATGTCATGATGATTTACTTCGACTTGGAGGTTTGGGCCTTGGGTCTACATGAGAACAGCGGGTCTGAGTGGACCAGTGTCCTGTTGTATGTGCCCAGCATCATCTATGCCATTGTGATTGAGATCATGAATCGTCTCTATCGATATGCTGCCGAGTTTTTAACTTCATGGGGTAAGACTTCAGGCTTTATATTCACGTCTTACTTGCCTGTAAGAAATGTTGCCTAGATCGTGGGATTCATATAGCTGCTACCTTACAGAGAAAATAGATGTTGCTTTTGGCTCATTATAGAGACATGAGGAAAAATTCATCAGCTTTGTGAACACTGATGATCTCCATGCCATGGTTATCATAACTCTCATTTATCGAGTGTTAATTACTATGTTCTAGGTATCCTGCTAAGCACTTTATTCACAGTATCTCACCATCACCTTCTCAAGGGTACCGTGAAGTAGAAGTTATTTCACCCTTTTGTGGATAAAGATAACTGATGCTTAATGAGGTTCAGACAGCAAATAATGGAGCTAGGCTAATTCAGACCTATCTGTCCAAAACTTGTGCTCCTAATACTGTGACATTGTGTTTCATGCCGAGGGTAAAATAGATTGAAATTGTTTCACTGGCTAGAGCCACAGAAGAAAGAAAAAAAAATTATCTTCATGATACTCAGCTAAATCAACTGTGACCACTTTCCTAAAATGGAGTATCTAGTTGGTATGAGGCACTGAGGACTGCTATTGAACTCGTTGAAGGCAGGTGTTTATGGATATATCTGTGGTAAAAAAGGAACTTGGTTATAAGTTGAAAATAGTCTTGATAGGCCATTCACTCTTTAATTTATTTATTCATTCAAACCAATGAACAAATTCGCTATATTATTCCCTAGGAAGAAGTCTAGGCCTTAACTTTATGGGCCATAAAGATGTTTTAGGGGCCAGACGTGGTGGCTCACACCTGTAATCCCAGCACTTTGGGAGGCTGAGGTGGGTGGATCACAAGTTCAGGATTTTGAGAGCAGCCTGGCCAATATGGTGAAACCCCGTCTCTACTAAAAGTACAAAACTTGGTGTGGTGGCGGGCACCTGTAGTCCCAGCTACTTGGGAGGCTGAGGCAGGAGAATTGCTTGAACCCGGGAGGCGGAGGTTGCAGTGAGCCGAGATCGCCCCACTGTACTCCAGCCTGGCCCACTGCACTCCAGCCTGGGTGACAGAGCAAGACTCTGTCTCAAAGAAAAAAGATGTTTTAAATTATTTTTATTAGTTGTATAGCAATATCAGCTGTCATTTATCAAGTACTTTCCTTATGCTAATACTAGGCTAAAGTTTTATATTAGATCCTGAGAGTGACCCTGGGAGGAAGATGGTCAGGCTTGTTTTGAGGGAATAAAGCTGAGGAGTATCAGGAGGTTAAGTAACTTACCCAAGGTTAGGCAGTGGCTGAATAGCTGAGTTGGCGTTCAGATCCAGGTCAGTCCAACACTCTGTGTGTAAGATGACATTTCTCTTCAGAATCTTCCTTTTTGTCATTTTATCTTGCTGCTTTGGGATCTATGCAGTGTTAACTTTTCTAGATTAAGATAGAAATTTGAGTTTCCTTTCAAGTTAACCCTTGTAAGCCACATGAAACTTTACTTGCAGAATTTTATTTACAGAAAACTTTATTTATTGCCCTCTTCTTTAGTGGTTACTGTTAGTTTTCACTATTTCTTCTTATACAGGGTCTTTGGGTGGCTGTCTGTAGGATTGTTTGCCAGCACTTCCCAAATTTCATTGTAGCAGTAATTTAAAAAATAATTTCAGACTACAATGCTGTTGCATTACCCTGAAAAATGTGTCCTTGTTTGATGCTCTTGGTGGTAAGGCATAGCTGTGATTGACAGCCTAGATCATTTACTGACTGAGGCTCTGATGTTGGACATCTCTTCCCTCAGTGCAACTCACTTGACCTCATAACAGTGCTTTCATATTGTTTTCTTACTGAGAAGTTACCTCTGTGTTTTAATGTTTTAGAGAATCATAGATTGGAATCTGCCTATCAGAACCATCTAATTCTGAAAGTTTTAGTGGTAAGTACAGCATTTATATACAAATCCATGTTATGAAACTGATATATGCTACATAATATATAGGAATACGAATATGAAGAATTGCTTCTAAGTTATCAATTAACATATTTTGTGCAAATAGGCAAGGATTGATTAATAAATATGTTTACCTCTGTGTTCAGTAGTCGTGTTACAAATGTGCATGTGATGTAAGACTTCAAAATATAAGAGTTGTATTATAGCCAATTTCCAGTTATTTAAAAACTAGACCGGGTGCAGTGGTTCATACCTGTAATCCCAGCACTTTGGGAGGCCTATGCTGGTGGATCATGAGTTCGAGACCAGCCTGGCCAACATGGTGAGACCCTGTGTCTACTAAAAACAGAAAAATTACCTGGGCATGATGGCACAGGCCTGTAATCCCAGCTACTCGGGAAGCTGAGGCATGACAATTGCTTGAACCCAGGAGGTGGAGGTTGCAGTGAGCCAAGATGGCGCCACTGCACTCCAGTTTGGGTGACGGAGCGAGACTCTGTCTCAAACAAACAAATAAATAAATAAATAAATAAAATAAAATAAAATTAACGGGCCAGACACGGTAGCACATGCCTGTAATCCCAGCACTTTGGGAAGCTTGAGGCAGGTGGATCACTTGAGGCCGGGAGTTTGAGACTAGCCTGGCTAACACAGTGAAAACCCATCTCTACCATAAAACACACAAAAAATTTGCCTGGTGTGGTGGCACCTGTAATCCCAGCTACTGGGGTGGCTGAGGCAGGAGAATTGCTTGAACCTAGGAGGCAGAGGTGGCAGTGAGCCGAGATTGCACCACTGTACTGCATCCTGGGTGACAGAGCAAGACCTTGTCTCAAAAAACAAAAACAACAACAACAACAAAATAACCACTTTTTAGAAATGTTTCTGTTCTTTTCCTTTTGGTGATTTCTTTGAATGTTTTACTATTCAGCAAGCGTTCCTGGCACCACAACCTGTTTAGTGATGGAACATTACATTAAAAAAAGGTTTTTTTTTGGTTAAATTTCCAAAGCTCAAAAGGTTCCCAGCATGTTTTGACAGGTAGGAGGAAAGAGACAGAGAGAAAGCAGTATGTAACCTGCTTGCTGTTTGTGTAAAAGCTGACATGTCTGCCTCTTTCCATAATAAAGAAATACCAGCTTGAAAACACTTCATTTATCAGGGGTTTACCTCAGTCATCTGTAACATAAGTGAGAATCAAGAAAGGTGCGTGAAGAATCCTCTGAACTTTCAACTGGAATTGATTTAACACAGTCCATGTACTTCACTCCCAAAAGAAGGATCCAGGCCCTCTTTTAGAGTCTCTGTTCTAGCCGTAGAAATCATTCTAAGAAGTTTATCTATTTGGTTTTTCGGTCCTTGAAAAATCAGAAACCACCATCATGAGGGTGTTTAGATTTCTGGAAATAGGCAAACCTACAGAGGAAGAACAGGTAAGGAAATGAAAACCTGTCATAAGAGATAAGAATTCAACAATTGGGCATTAGGAAAGCAAAAAGTAGCCCTACATATCCAAAAGACTTCGAAGGCCTCCTTCACCCTGTGAAATGGCTGATACTTAGAATGTTGATGCTAAATCCGCAAGGAAGTTCTGTTCTGTGCTCTCTGTGTAAGAAAGTAGAGAAACATGGGATACATTAAAAAGTTCATTCAAAAAGGTTATTATAGGAGGAGCTTTTTCCCTCAGAGGTAAAAACATTCCGTTTGTCTTGAAGACTTCAGTTATTTGTGAGACTTTATTATTTTCTGATGATGCCAGTTACAAGGTAACTGCCTTGTAAAAAAAGAAGCCATTGGTTAAAGTCTTCTTCCTCCATGGTGCTTCTTAGGCCTTTCTCTTCCTTCTTAATCTTAAGGGGATGGTGTTTCTTAGCCTTCCCAGGCTTTTGCTTTTCAACTTCTGCTCTAACTTAGCACCCCTGTCCTGTGGCCGTATTGATCTTACTGCTCACTTTCTAGAACGACCCCCCCATCTCCGCAGTAATTAAGCACTCACACCTGTACACATAGCAGCCTTTGTCTAAGTGATGCTACTGGGTTGGAATAGTCAGCATGGGGGCTGGGAGGCAGAAAGGAAACCCACTGGTGCAGGGGGTAAGCTATAGGTTCTTGAGCAGGGAACTCCTAGAAGAGATGGCACTTTTTGTGGAAGGATCCCCTTAACTGGTACTTCCCTTCACCCAGCCTGCTTCTGTGTATCTGGCAGGGCGAGGGAGTTCATGCTCATGGTGACAAAGATGCTTCCCAGGCCAGACTGGTTGTTATAGCCTCCCAGTTACCTGCTGTCTCTCTGTAATAGAGAGAATCTCAGGTCCATAGGCATGAAGAGGCCTCTTGTATTAGGCCCTTGTGGCAGGGGCCCCCTTGCCATTGTCACCCAGCTGCCCCACTTACTTTTGATGGGGTTTCCAGGCATGGGCTTGCGGTGATGGGGTCTTTCTTGCCAGTGCTTGCCTGGCCATCCTGGGATCTCTCTGTGGAGCAGGGGAGTCTCAGGCCCAGCAAGGAAGAAGAGCACTTCCCCAGGAAACTTATCGTTAGTTGGGGGGTCCTCATTGATTTCCCCTTGCCGGTTTAGCAGGGCTCCCCTGGCACTGACAGAATTCCTATTCAAATGTGGGAGGAATGAGCCTGCTTGGGCTACCTGGGTTGGTAGGTTGGGGTTGGGAAATGCCAGGCCTTGGTCTCCTCCTTCTGTTGGGTGGGGGAACTTGAGGTGTGCATGTGCTGTGTTGTTCCTTCAGCTCTGGGTTCCTAAACCATCTCATCTTCCTTTAAGCACCTTTCAGAGTTCTCCTTTGGTTGCCTTGTTTGTTATTTCCAGAGTTTGTTTATTTAATAAGGAGACATGGGGAGAAACAAGTCTTCTCCATTTCATTTAGACCGGAAGTCTCTCATTACATTTTTAAATGCTACATTACAGTTGTAATAAAGTACTCTAAAGTAGTGTTTAACACTTATCTTTTTTTTTTTTTTTTTTGGCAGTTCAACTTTCTCAATTGCTTTGCCTCACTCTTCTACATTGCCTTTGTCCTGAAAGATATGAAGCTTTTGCGCCAGGTGAGTATAAATAACAGAAAAATACCAATTTTTTAGGTCATGGAGATGGTTTTCTCTCTTTAGATGCTGCAATTGGCTTCAAATTTTTTTTACAAATAAAAATCTTTTAAATTTTGTATATTTTAAAGCAAATTCTAAATAAAAAGTTATTAGGAATCATATTGTGTATTATGCTCAGCTGAAATGAGTTGAACCTAACCAACCTGAAAAATTAATAGTATAGGGCAGTAAAATCAATTATACAGTTCACCTCAAAGCTTGTAAGCAACTCTAACAGCAAAAATGTAGTATTCATTAATCGAACTGTTTTGTGTGCCTTGGGTGGGGATGATTGGTGTAACCCTAGGTCTCGCAAATTTAATTTTTAAATTAATAAGTTGTTAAACTTTAGAGACCAGTGGATCCTTTGCAGTGCTGTATCTTTTCTAAAGTGTCTGACATTTATTTTGGTGTGTTGTCATTTCTGGATCACATAATACCAATGAATAATAAATTAAAAACTAATTATTGATTCTAAATTCTCCTTTTTATATTTGAACCAGTTATAAGTAAATGGCTGTTTTTTTCCCAGTTTTAATATTCTGAGATTGTTGGTGAGGAGTCTCAAAGCGTAGACTCCACTTGTTAAAGATTATTTTTCAAAATAGAGAAAGTTTAAAGTAATACATTTGGAATTGATGAGTTGGATGTACATGTAATAGTGGTCCCATGTAATAGTGTATTAGTCGAATGTGACTTCTCATTTCTTCTGCTTTAAAGAGTCTCCTTTATTTAGCAGAAAATAGGGGAATGGAGGACTGCTTAAAAAAACAGTTATAATACCGCAAAGGTGGGGTGTGATGGAAACACTCATACCTATCTGAGAAAAGTGGAGATTGATACATCTCTGGAAAGCGGCTGTCTTGATAGCTTTACCAAGAACCTTAACTCATCCCTAGTAAATCATCAGAGAGGAGCAAAGATTCATGTACGTAGATATCCAAGCACCAGCATTATAATAGTGAAAATTGGGAGTAATACTTAATTCAACAGCAGTGTACGGGCCAAGTAAAAAAGAATTTTTAATGACATGGGAAAATGCTCACACATATTAAGTGATAAAAGCAGTAAACAAAGTTGTATCCATATAGGATAATTATAGTTTTATTTTTATATATGATTGGAAAGAAATATCCCAAGAAATAGCAGTGGTTTTGTTATGGTTGTGGAATTATGGGTGGCTCTTTTTTTCTATTTTCTTTTTTTTTTAAATTAATACATGCCTAGTTGTACATTTTTATGGGGTACATATGCTGTTTTGTTACATTCATAAAATGTGTAATGAAGGCTGGGCATAATGGCTCATGCCTGTAATCCCAGCACTTTAGCAGGCTGAGGCAGGCAGATTGCTTGAGCCCAGGAGTTCAAGACTAACCTGGGCAACATGGCGAAATCCTGTCTCTATCAAATATACAAAACATTAGCTGGGTGTGGTGGCACATGCCTGTAGTCCCAGCTACCTGGGAGGCTGAGGTGGGAGGATCACCTGAGCCTGGGAGCTCCAGGCTGCAGTGAACTGTGATCGCGCCACTGCACTGTAAAGTGAGACCTTGTCTCAAAAAAAAAAAGAAAGATGTAATGATCAATCAAGGTATTTAGAGGATCTATCACCTCGAGTATTTATCATTTCTATATGTTGGGAGCGTACAATACATTATTTACACACCCACCCAGCCTCTGGTAACTGTCATCCCACTCTATCTCTATGAGAACAACGTTTTTAGCTCCCACATATGAGTGAGAGCCTGTGATATTTGTCTTTCTGTGCCCGGCTTATTTCACTTAACATAATGACCTGCAGTTCCATTCGTGTTGCTGCAATTGACAGAATTTCAGTCTTTTTTATGGCCAACTAGTATTCCATTGTGTATATATACCACATTTTCCTTATCTGTTTATCTGTTGATAGACACTGAGGTTGATTCTGTTTCTTTATTATTACGAATAGTGTTGCAGTAAACATGGGGGTGCAGGTATCCCTTTGATATGCTAATTTCTTTTCCTTTGGAGAAATACCCAATAGTTGGAATGCTGGATTCTATGGTTGTTCTATTTTCAGTTTTTTTTTTTTAGATGTCTAAAAAAAAAAAAAAACTCTCTCCATACTCTTTTATATAATGTCTGTATTAATTTCCATTCCCACCACCAACAGTGTATAAGAGTTCCCTTTGTTGCACATTCTTGTCAGCATCTGGATTTTTTGGGTCTTTTAATAATAGCTATTCTAGTTGGAGTAGGATGATATCTCATTGTGGCTTTGATTTCCATTTCCCTGATGATGAGTGGTGTTGAGCATTTTTTCATATACCTGTGGCTATGTATATGTCTTCTTTAGAGAAATGTGTATTCATGTCTTTTGCTTACTTTTTAATGGGATTATTTGTATTTTTGCTATTGTTTGAGTTCCTTGTATATTCTGGTATTCTAGGTATTAGTTCCTTATCAGATGCATAGTTTGCAGATCTTTTCTCCCATTCAACAGTTGTCTCTTCACTGTGTTGTTTCCTTTGCTGTGCAGAAGCTTTTTTCTTTAATGTAGTCACAGTTGTCTATTTTTGGTTTTATTGCCTGTGCTTTTGAGGTCCTAGTCATAAAATCTTGGCTTAGACCAATGTCCTATAGTATTTCCCGTATGTTTTCTTCTAGTAGTTTTATAGTTTCAGGCTTTATGTTTAGATCTTTAATCCATTTTGAGTTGACTTTTGTCTGTGGTGATAGAGAGGGGTCTAGTTTCATTCTTCTGCATATGGATACCTGGTTTTCCCAGCACCATTTATTGAAGACGGTATTTTTTTCTCCAGTATACATTTTTTTTTGAGATGGAGTCTCACTCTGTTGCCCAGACTGGAGTGCAGTGGTGCAATCTTGGCTCACTGCAGCCTCCAAGGTTCAGGAGTTTCTCGTGCCTCAGCCTCCCAAGTAGCTGGGATTACAGGCGTTCGCCACCACGCCCGGCTGATTTTTGTATTTTTAGTAGAGACGGGGTTTCACCATGTCGGCCAGGCTGGTCTCAAACTTCCTTTTTTTATTTTTTCTTTGAGACAGGGCCTCGCTCTGCTGCCCAAGCTGGAGTGCAGTGGTGCGATCTCGGCTCACTGCAAGCTCTGCCTCCCAGGTTCACACCATTCTTCTGCCTCAGCCTCCCAAGTAGCTGGGACTACAGGCGCCCGCCACCAAACCTGGCTAATTTTTTGTATTTTTAGTAGTAGAGATGGGGTTTCACTGTGGTAGCCAGGATGGTCTCAATCTCCTGACCTCATGATCCGCCCGCCTTGGCCTCCCAAAGTGCTGGGATTACAGGCGTGAGCCACCACCGTGCGGGGCCTCAAACTTTCAGTCTCAGGTGATCTGCCCGCCTTGGCCTCTCAAAGTACTGGGATTACAGGTATGAGACACTGCACCCCGCCTCAATATACATTCTTAGTGCCTTTATAGAAAATCAGTTGACTGTAAATATGTGGATTAATTTTTTTTTTTCTGTTTTTTTGTAGCGAGGGGGTATGTATTAGTGGTATAATTTAAATTCTTTAAAAAAGAATTTAGTCAAACTGTTTTTTTCCGTAGTTGGCAACATCATTTAGATTTACATGTTGCAGTCAGGATGAAATGTTGAAGAACACAACTGCAAGCTAATTCATTTTTGTAATGATTCTTTTTTTAAAGTTTTAGAATTGACAAATAATTGTACATATTCATGAAGTACATGGTGATGTTTTCATACATAAAATGTATCGCAATCAGATCAGGGTAGTTAGCATATCCATCCTCTCAAACATTTTTTATTTCCTTGAATTGGGACTGTTTAATTGACCAGTTTGTTTCTTATTATAACATTATTTGTATTATAATCTTATTTATCTTTTAATCTTGGTCTTTCATGTGAAAAATCATAAATTGGGAACACCATTCTAATACCTAGCTTTTCTAATACTAGTTTTTATAACACAATAGTATGCTATTTATTGAAGATTCCATTTTATTTGTTGCATAATTGTATTTGTTATAAATGCTATAGTTTTATTAATTTATATATAATTTTTATATATTTATATATAATTTATATAAATGCTATATTTTATTAAGCTATATTCCCAAAATATGATCTGTGTGCTTCTCTTTAGAGCTTGGCCACTCTCCTGATTACCTCCCAGATCCTCAACCAAATTGTGGAATCTCTTCTTCCTTACTGGCTCCAAAGGAAGCATGGTGTGCGGGTGAAGAGGAAGATGCAGGCTTTAAAGACAGACATTGATGCTACATTATATGAACAAGTCATCCTGGAAAAAGAAATGGGAACTTATTTGGTAAGTTGGAATATTGCTGAATTAAACATTTACTGAAAGTGAATAGTAGCCATGCACCGAGTTCAACAAATGTTACACATTCATGATCTCCGATGTGGCTATTCTAGAAGTGCTTTCCAGTCAGTCTCCTCGTCATGAACCACTTTAAAGTGAAAAGAATAGAATTGTGTGTTGAAGCACTGCTGTCTGAAATCCAAAGTTATGCCTAATGACACCAAAGGGCAAATTTGGAGAATTACATGACTACTTTGCTTTGCGGAGAGCAGGGTAGAAATAGTTGCCCCAGAGATGACAGAACGGGAGAGATGGTCCCTGAAGAGGCAGCGGCATTGCTCACTCTTGACACTTCAAACTCATGGAAAATGATGGCCGCACAAGCAAAAGATAGAGGCCCATTGATGAACAATGGAATGCCAATCTGAAGATTGAATTTTAGTTTACGTTAGTCCTATTGTATAAATATAAAACAGTTCCTTTAAGACAGAGAGTTTCTGAATTATTTTTAGGAACTACAAGCAGATCATTAGAGATTTACACTTTTAATATTTGAAAGAAAGGTCTAGTTCATAAAATCTGACTATGTGTTCAACCAACTTTTATTGAGCTCTGACTACATTCACTGTTTCTATATTTCACATTTTTTAAGGCCATTGTTTCTTAACATCCTGCACCTTCCTTGTTGCTACAGTATTCCTTCTAGTGAAATACATCCTTCAGTGGGTCATTTACTAAAAGCCCGTTATTGTGAAACTTTCATAGTCTTGTTTTTCATCTTGAATGAGTTTATCTCCTGATTATTGAGTCTCTTGACTGACTTTCATAATTTTTCTCATGTGCTTAGGAATTTCAGTTTGTATGTTCATGTTGAGTAGGACTTTGTCCTTTTCTCTCTGCTCACTTCTGCCTTATTTTTTGCAGTTGCCCCCACTGAGCCTCCAAGCCCCTCATCCAGAACCAAGTGTTTGTAGCCCAGAGCTCCCATCTTGTGGTGTTGATGAGGATTTTATAGATCTGGTCACAGAGCCAGTTGGTAGCATGCTGTTGGCATAGCTGTAGTTACCAGGTAGCAGTTGTGGCTTTTTTAAAGCCTCCTTTGAAGGGCAGGGAGCGTGGTCCCAACCCCTGGTTTTGCTCAGCAAGCCTGGTTCCAGTTACACTCCAGGGGAGAGGGTGCTCTTGGTTCTCCTCCTGATAGGATACAGATCCTAGCCCCTTCTATCATCGCTGTGTTTGAGGGAGATGATTCAAAGTATAAACACATAGTACACTTTGAACAGTAACATTGTTTATATTTATATATGAAGCATAGAGAAAAGACACACACCTACTCTCTCTCCAGAGGAAGAATTAAAGAGAAAGAACACGTGGGCATAAGTGTGGAGCTGTCCTTTCTGGATTGATTGAGTGCTAGCTTACTATGGGATAAAAGTTAAATTATATCATTTTACTGTAGGATAAAAGTTCCCATTATGTCAGGATCCTATCCTTGCCTGTGCTTGGGGGTGGTATTCTTGGCCACATTTATTTTCCTTTCTTCACTCTCTTATGGAAACTGCACCAGCAGTCTGTCCCCCTGTACTCTGTACTCTCACTCCATCCCCCTCATCTTTGAAGGCCTCCTGTCACCGGCCATCACCTGGTACTCTTGTATCTCCTCCTTCTCCTTCTAACTGCTCCACCAAGTCAGCAACTTGCCTATTTTGAACTAAGCAAACTCTTCACATCTTCTGCTGTTTTTGTCCTGTCTTTCCCTCCCCTCACAGTTTTCTGCAATAATTCTCCATATTGTTGTCTCTAGTTTCCTACTTCTCTTTCTATAATCAATTAGAATCTGCTTTCAGCTCTTCTTTTTCTCCAAAATTGTTTGGGCAAACAACATTATCTCCTGAAGTACCCAAAACACAATTCATAATCTTCTCAAGATGGGTTTCTCCTGCTTTGCCCCTGACTCAATGAATGGTTTTTAGTATAGTCCTCATCTGAGCAATTCTAATTTATCTAAGAACTGTATGCCAGTGATGTGACACTGCCAAAATCTCAGATCTTACCTCTTTTGACATTTCAAGGTATCTGACAAAACCTTTATGAAGGAAGGTGAGGGAGGCATGGCTATTCCCATGTCAAAAAGAAGCGAATGAAGCTCTATATCATTAATCATTTGGTGACTAAATCAGAAAGAAGGTTCAAGACTTTGCCTTGCCAATTCAGAATATTTCCGTTATACACCACAGGCTCTCTGATGTGAAGTAAAGGAAATAATATATTGATTTCTCTCAGGTCCTGGGTCTGTGAGTGAACTCTAGGGTTTACAGTGCCACTCTTTTTTGGGCCTGCAGAGTTCTGCATGATCTGGCCATTTCCCACTCCTAATCTCTTACAGGTTTCTTTTTCATTATCTCCACTGGAGTGACATTGGATATTTGCCATTTCAGTTCTCTCCATGTATTTGGAGGTGGGGATACTTTTGGGTCACATTTATTCTGGATGATTGTTTCCTATGCATGAATCCTTTCTTCTGGGTTCATTTTTCTCCTAATTGAAATCAATGAATTTAGAATTGTATTTTCTGTAATCTCATCCTGACTGTTATATATGAGTCTAAAATAATGTTACCAAGCTTTGGGAAAAAGCAATTTGGCTGAAACTTTAAAAACATTACTATAGGGACATGGATGCAGCTGGAAACCATCATTCTCAGCAAACTATCGCAAGAACAGAAAACCAAACACCGCATGTTCTCACTCATAGGTGGGAACCGAACAATGAGATCACCTGGACTCGGGAAGGGGAACATCACACACTGGGGCCTATCACAGGGATTGCATTGGGAGTTATACCTGATGTAAATGACAAGTTGATGGGTGCTGACGAGTTGATGGTTGCAGCACATCAACATGGCACAAGTATACATATGTAACAAACCTGCACGTTATGCACATGTACCCTAGAACTCAAAGTATTATAATAATAATAATAATAATAATAATAATAATAATAATAAAGAAATTCTGAAGGTGACAGTCTGACTCTGTCACCCAGGCTGGAGTGCAGTGACACGATCTCGCCACTGGATTTTTAAAAAGTCAAAAAACAACAGATGCTGGTGAGGCTGTGGAGAAAAGGGAACATTTTTACACTGTT